TTTGGTTCACTGTTTTGCTGCTGTTGTATAGGATTTATACCCGTTTTGATCGAAGAGTTTTACAATATTCAACATAAATGCCAAAAATGTGGTCAACTTTTAGCTGAATTCCGGCGATAATATTCATACAAAATATTATATTTATATTGAATTAATGTTTTATTTTTACACTTAATTCTTATGAATTTTTAATTAATTAAGTTATTATAATTAATAAAACCCGACTTATATTGTAATTAATATAAATTGAATAAGAACATAATCAATCCTTTTTTTTAAATAGTTTTGCAATATTTAACATAATTGCCGAAAATGTGGTCAATTTTCTTTTGTTAATTCCGGAGATAATTCATACAAATATATTATTTATATCGAATTTAATTAATTATTTAAAAATTATGTAAAATTTATATTATATACAGGAAAACATTTTGATTGGCATTAATTAATGATTTTTTGTTCATCTTTTATATCATGTTTTTCTTTTATTGATTTATTAATAAATTTCAATTAATTTGAAGAAATTATTAAAAATATATTAATACATATAATATTAGGTATACAATACATTTGATAACTTGATTACACTAAATAATTATAAGTTATATAAACATTTATAAAGTTTGAATAATAAAATATGCAAAACACTGATAGATGTTAAATATAATTTTTGTAGGTAATATCAGATTATATTGGTTTGAAACTGTATTAAACAACAAAACAATATAATTATTATGTTTGTAGTTTTTATGATTCCGAAGATATCTTTAAACAAAGACTTTCGGAAATATTCTGGGATTTTTACCCAGTTTTTACATAAAAACATTTGCTTCTAATAGGAATACTTATATAATAACTTATTAACTTATATTTGATTTATTCTAATAGTTACCAGAGGTTGTAGTTTTTGATTGAGAATATCTCCGGAACCACAAAAGCTACAATAAAAATAAGTATACTCTTGTGTTGTCCAATAACCACAGTTTAGAATCAATTCATAGTCTATTAAATCTATCATTAAATTAATTAAAATTTATAAGTTTATAAAAGTTTTGCATATTTTGTTATTAAAAGTTTATTAGATTTATAAATTAGTTCTAATGTAAAATAATTTCCATTTAGTTCCCTGAAATGCAAGTGAACTGAGAATAAAGATATTTCAATTATTCATATTAATAAAAAGTTATATAATGTCATTATTATAGTGATTATATGCCTTACAATTTATTACTTTGATTTGATTTTTGATTTCTGTGTTTATGACTTTTCGCTCAATTTTATGCGTTTTTATAAAAATACACACAAAAGTAGACAATTTTAACAAAACACAAACACCAACCAATTGGACAATATTTGTCCAAAATTGATCATCGTCAATTTCCAGACCGTACAATACGGTCGATACCTGATTACCCTGACACCGGTCAAAGCCATAGATCATTATAACCATGCATTCAAATGATAAACCAATTGGACAATATTTGTCCAAAATTGATCATCGTCAATTTCCAGACCGTACAATACGGTCGATACCTGATTACCCTGACACCGGTCAAAGCCATAGATCATTATAACCATGCATTCAAATGATAATCTAATATAAGAGAACTGACTGAACACTTGCATCGTATAGTGTAGCTCTTTGACCGGGATCAAACTGTTGCCCAATATTAACATAATAGTCTGACTCATTATGGCAAACATTAGGGCCATTTTGGGCTCATTCGCGAACAATATGGCCGATAATTGAGATACACTTTGCGTACACATTATGACCAGTAAATTGAGTGCAAACGTAAACACATAGAAAGTAATAGTATTGTATAGGTTTGCGATCCAACAAAACAATGGTAACGCCATTAGCACTGGAAGCAAGTCTACAATCGTACGGCACCAGAGATATGACCCGGTGCTATACCAACCTATGTAATAAATACAATACATTAAATTTTATTGACATTATAATAAATACTAGTTTAACAAACGATACCATTTTGCTGTTGACTCCGGAATATGCGAAAGTCGGCACCAAAAGTGACAGACATTACGATTAGCACAACAAATGCCAACGAAAGTAATAAACAGAGATTGTATTTAATGTTATTCTTGATGAGCCTCTCGTCCCGGAGCTCGGCCTCTGTCTGATAGCACTCGCCTCCGATCTCGAGCTCAACGCAGCCGTCGGGCAGTATTATATCGGCACTGAAACCATATTTTAAGACAATTGCCAACATTTGAATGCTAATAAATTGCAGCAAAACAGACACCCATTGGCACCGGAATGTATGGGTCAGCGAACGGCACAGCAAGTAGTATATGTCAATAAAACTGAATCTCTTTGATATATTGAGTGAACCAAACACTGGACGCATGTTTGACACTAATTGAGAATTAATTGTAAAGTCATTATTATTGTCGATAATTTTATCACAAATTTCATTGCAATTTGTATTTGATTTTTCTTTTGATGCTATGGTTAGCAACACTTCAATTGGTACTTGATTTTCATTGCAATCGATGTCATTGTCTTTGAGATTTTGTTTTAAATGGTGGGGAACTCCTGAATACAAACAAACCCCTCCTTTGGCCAACACATAGATGTTATCAAACGTATGCAATAAATCATTGTTTGGCTGATGTATGGACACAACTATTGTCATTTCATGTCTTCGGGACAACACTTTTAAACAGTTTATTACCTAAAAATAAAATACAAAATTAAAATTATGCGTGTATTTGAAAACACAATAGTGTGATGACTGACCACATCGGCTGCATTGCTGTCGAGACCACTCGTCGGTTCGTCAATACACAACATATTAGGCTTAATATGTGCCGTCATTTCGCAGGCAATTATTATACGCTTTTGTTCGCCTCCACTGCAAGACTCGACCCGATTGTCGGCCGTATCGCTGATCACCAGTTCTGACATCAAATCACAAACAATTTTATTGTGATTTAATTCACATATAATTCTCGAGTTCTTGAGTCTCGACGCGTATAACAGTGTTTGGCGTACAGTTAAACCTGATAATAGGTGCTCTCGAAAGTCCGATTTGATAAAACAAGACCTAATTTGTCGGTATTTAGTTAAGTAAATCTTTGTCCTATCGCTTAGACCTCTATTGTTTTGTCCGTTCAAACACTTTAATAGTGTTGTCTTTCCCGCACCCGACGGCCCCATCAGTGCATTCAGTGAACTCATATACATGTGGCCATTAATTTGATCAAGAATCATTTTCCTTGAGGTACTAAACATTGTTTCATTGACAGAAAGTGTTAGATTACTCCATGAAATTAATATTTGATCATTTTGTTTATACTCAACATTATTGTTAACATTAAAATTGATTCTATCGTTCATTTTAATTATCTCTGAATTATTGCCATTTATTTCATTGTTTTGTTTGCGAAATATTCTCAAAACCTGTCCCCAATTTATTGAGAAATTATTTGTTTTAAAAATAAATGAAATGTATTCGCATAACATTAAAGTCACATAATAATAAATATACCATCTAGCGTATTTATCAAATAACTGCTCTGGCTCAAAATCTAAACCATACTCAATTAACACCTTATTCTGGTAATCACGTGGACATCGATTATATCCGTAGATCAATATTAACATTGAATTAAAAAAATACTTGTAATAACCAAAATCAGAGCAAACTTGAAAAAATGGCAAAAGGTCCTTGGTAGAAATAAAATAATTATTCCCTATTAAAAAAACTAAAGTTATAAATATAGCGATAAAAAGTGCTAGATTTTGATTATGGGATAATAGGATCCCCAGTATTGAAGCCAATGCTTGTGTGCAAAGAAATATCATTACAATAATGTAAAGAAAATTGTATATAATGTGCGGTTCGCTGAGAATATCGATATAATATTGTAATATAAAAGCATAAATCATTGCGTTTAGTATAACAAAAAGAGAATCGCATATGAATTTAGCCCAGAAATACAAATGTGAATTGTACCAATCTGAAAATGATTAATTGAAAATATTAAACATCTTGATTAAAGATCAAAGTGGATAAGTGCATTCGTGACATTAAATAAATATTTTAACATGTTTAAATTAAATTGTATTTATGTACATTAGGATACATTAAATTATTGTTTCATTTAACTCACTGTTATTATTTTCCGAAAGGACTATTTGCATATCAGCGCCAAAACTGTTGCAAATGTTTGTGATTTGTATCCATAGGATTATCATAGATGATATATGTAACAAAGTTTGCAATTGTGCCAGGATGTTTTTTTCGTCCTCAATCTCAGTACAGGTCTGATTTGTCTTCCCATTGAAATGTACGCAACCGTCGACTCTCGCAATGTTATCGTTATAACAATTTATGATAAATAAATTGATTAAAATATATAAAAACAATTGTTTTAAAACGTTTTTATAATTATTAACATAATTTCTATGAATAAATCTTTTCAATATATATATGAAGTCAATTGCTTTAAAGTTTTTTTCAGCAAATTTAAATCCAATATTAATTTTAATCATATTTTCCGTATTAACAGTCATTTCTCGGGTTTTATCGCAAAGTGTTTTCACATTTTTATCCATCAGTCCATTGAAACTCATTTTAATCAACACTTCAATCGGCACTTGATTTTCATTGCATTCAATCTGACAATTGCTGAGATATTGTCTTAATTCCTGNGTCCATTGAAACTCATTTTAATCAACACTTCAATCGGCACTTGATTTTCATTGCATTCAATCTGACAATTGCTGAGATATTGTCTTAATTCCTGCGGAACTCCTGAATACAGACAAACCCCTCCTTTGGCCAACACATAGATGTTGTCAAACATATGAAACAAATCATTGTTTGGCTGATGTATGGATGCAATGATTGAAACGTTATGATTACGGGACAGTTGTTTCAGGCATTGAACTAACTGTTGAGAAAATATAATTTTAATATTCGTTGTGTTTAATAGACTAATAAATTATTTCTTTATAATTTAATTGTTTTAATTTCAACATACAGTGAGTGCTGAGTGTGTGTCGAGACCAGTGGTCGGCTCATCAATGAACAGTAGGTATGGCTTAACAACTGATGTCAATTCCAATGCAATACAAATGCGTTTGATTTGTCCGGAACTGCAATCCTCGATACGATTATCTTTAATACCAATTATTAGCAACTCTTTCATTAAATCCAAGACATTATTCTTGTGGTCAATCACTTCAACACCACTTGTTTTGTCACTATTTTTTAATCGCGAGGAATATGTCAGCGCCTGGACTACAGTCAGACCCGTCATTATGCGCTCATTTTGGTCCTGATATACGAAACATTTATTAATCGTTTGCCCGCTCTTCACATATATGGCCGACCCGTCACTCAATATGTATTCATTGTTTGCATTCAAACACTTTAAAAGCGTTGATTTCCCGGAACCCGAAGAACCCATCAAAGCGTTCAACGATCCCGACATAAACGCACCCGAAATGCCATTCAATATCCGCTTCTCATTCCCGCCCAACACTCCCGACCCGACACTAACCCAAAGGTCTGTCCACGCGATTGCTGTTTCCAAAGTCATTTTCAATCTCTTTCTTCATTAAAATAATTAATGTTAATATTTAAATTAAATAGTTAATTAATTTTTTAAAATCACAAAATTACTTTTAGACAGTTATACGAATATTAATTCCTATATTGCTTTGATATATTATATTATATAAAATATTTATTTGTTTAATTACTGTTAATTATGATATAACAAATAAGTACAACACCATGCACAATCAGGC